GATGCTCAATACATAAGCAGAAGGTAAAAGCTATAGCTAACGGACATTTTAAAGGAAAAAACATACAAAATAGAGAGGAAGAAATACTCAAAGAAATAATAGAAAATTTCCTTGAGTTGAAGGAAATAATCCCTGGAGTTAAAAGAGACAACCAAGTACCAAATGATACAAACAAGAAAGATGCATCCTGATAAAATAATATGAGGAAAAGATTAAAAGCTTCAAAGGGAAAGAAAAAGCAGATTGTCTACAGAGAAATGAGTTTAGTTTGACATCAGAAGTATCAGCCACAACCAGTGCTAAAAAGTACTGAGGCTAAGCCCACAAAGGGAAAATTAAGACCAGAATATTCATACCAACCAAATGCTCAATCAAGTCTGAGGACAAAATAAAGACATTTCTGGAATTTAAGGACTCAGATATTTTATCTCCCATTTACTATTTCTTAAAAATTATTTAAGAATGCAATCCAACAAAATGATGAATGTATTCAAGAAAGAGGAAGATGGAGAATTCAAAACAGTGCAACTAACATAGGAGTTCATTTTTTTTTAATTTAAGGTTTTTAGCTGTGCTCTGAAAGCTATATTAATAACAATTAGAGCAAGAATCCTAACTCTTTAAGGAAAAAAAAATGTTTTCAAGAAATAAGCAATTTATAAGTGAAACAAACCAAGGACAGAAAGTCAACTATCACATTCTAACTCGTAAGTGGGTGCTAAAAAATGTGTACACGTGGACGTAGGGAGTGGAAGGATAGACAACAGAGACTCAGAAGGGTGAGAGGGTGCTGGGGGATTCGGGTGATAGGTACCCAAAGAGCCTGAACTTGACTGTAGTACAATCTCTGCATGTAACAAAATTAAACATGTACTCCATAAATTTGTACAAATAAATAAAAAGAAGCAATCTGCACATTTGCATTCATCAAATAGTGTAATTAAGCTAGGAAATTTTGCAAATCAGTGTAATCCTTTGCTTAAAAGAAATTAACAAGAAATTTTAAAATAAGTTGTAGAAGAACATTACAGTCCAAATATGAAGTAAAATAAACTCTAGTAACATTTTAAGTAAAATTCGAGCATGATTCATAGTGAATAAAAGAGAATTTTTTGTCTTCCAGAGGCATGGTTTTCATGTCACAAAATTTTACTTCCTTTTTTTATGAGTCTAATCGCACTACTTGGTTTCCTAATAATAATAGTAAACATAATAACTACCCATTATGGACGCTTAACATATATCTTCTTTTAAATTCTTAATATATATCCTATTCTAATGAAGGAAGTTCATTTATTAGGCAGTTTAATCTTTTCCATGACAGCACTGTGAGGCTAAGTGACTTTCGCCAGGTCCCACGCTTATTGGTGAACCCAGGCAACCTGGCTCCAAAAAACTAGCTCTTAAACACGTGGCTTCATGGCCTTCATAATGCTCTTTGTTAACTTACAATTCTTAGAATCAATCTGTTAACCTAAAACAAGACAGCAAACTAACAATTAGGAAACCTAATAATGTAAAAGTAATGATGAACCACAGTAAGGAGAGGGAGGGAAGTGTGTAAGTAAGCTATTGCCTAATTTTAATAAAAATGTTATATATAATTTATATAACTATTAGAAAAACTAAAAACAAAAAAAACTAAAAACTAAAAACTAAAAAACTAAAAAAAAGATGATAAATTAAGAAACAGCAACATAAGCAAATTATCCAGAGGTTTGGGAGGAATCAGAGAAGCTAAAAATATAGAGGGATAGGGAAAGGGAAGATTTCTGTTTTGTATCATTTCCATTTTAATTAAATTATCAGATATTATTTTATCATGAAAAGTAATTCTAGAATACTGTTATTAATAATAATAGTACCACCCTGTAAAGAAAGGATAAACTGAAGAGGGTACCTTTCAATTCTGGCATGGTAAAAGAAAAAAACAATTAAATGCTACCAGACAGTAAAAAAGATATATATAAACATATTCCAGCATACTCTTCTTCTTTGCTGATTCTTTGTTTCCACATGACTATGGGCTAAATGAACAATTTTTTCATATGAACTCCTAAAGAGACATTCGTTTCATTGGCTTTAGACAATTATTCAGTCATATCCACTCCAATCTTCCACCTTGCACATTTCATTTAAAGAAAGGGCTGTCTCAATTCACACATTATGGGCAGGAGTTGACACTGGTATCACCTTTTTAGGATCTAATTTGGAAGTTCTTATTAAAATGTAAAATATGGTTACATTACATTTTGACCTAATCATTTCGCTTCCTCGAATCCACCCTACAGAAACACTCCCAAATGCTCAGAGATAACTGCCCATGGACTTTCAATTTGAGAGGAAAACTGATACCTAATAACAACCCACATTGGTAGATGGCACAATATTGTGTTGTCATTGTAAAAATAAAATATATCTTTATGTACTGACACTGAAAGCTACCCACAACATATTGCCAAATGAGAAAAAGCAAGATTCAGAATTACAAATTATACAAATTTCTGTAAAACTACATATTACACATACACACAGCACGTATATAATGTGTGCAAGCAGCATGCTTAAGGTGTTGTGTGGAGGAGACGCTGTAAGTTTTGAGGGGTTTTTTCACTTTTTTTACTTTTATTACTTTTTTTTATAATCAGCATATATTGTTTTCATATTTTAAAAAAATTAGGTCATGACTCAATTGTCATATATCTGGTATGGAAAAAAATCCAAAAAGGGAAACACTTAAAAGTCTTTCCAAAAATTCATTCTCAAAATCAAGAAAAAGAATTCTATACGATAACTAGCACGTTGCAGTCCAGAATTAGGGAAAAGGCTAACTTCACTGGCGGGATCACTGCTTAGTGAACTAGGGCAAGAAAATGAGGGCACGAAAAGCAATTAAGGCAGGGTTGAGCCGCGAAGCCACCAGCCGCGGGCGCAGGCAGCCGAGGGACCCGCAGGGAGGCCGCGGAGGGCGTAGGGGCCCCGGGCGTGGGAGACGAAGGAAACTGGCCCGCGACGCTGGCATGGTAGGAAAAAAACTGGGACTGGCTGTGTGGGAACGAGGTTGGAGGGTCAAACGACGGAAGGGGTGGGAAGGCGCTCCCAGGGCACTGCTCAAATCCAGGCAACCAGGAGGGAGGAGGAGGCGCGGCTGGCAGCGACAGCTTGGCCGGCAGAGGCGGGTCAGCCCGGGGCGCGCGGAGGGAGTGGGCAGGGCGCCCGGGAACCGCGCCGCGGGGCCTGTGGGGCCCGGCCCAGGCCGAGGCCGAGGCCCAGGCCGGGGATGCGGGCCGGAGCGCCCGCTCCGCGCCCGGGGCAGGCGCCAGCTGCCAGTACCTTCCCAGGAGAGCTCTCCGCCCGGCTCCCGCTTCAGGAACTTGTACCAGAACGTGTCCACGCGGCCCGGCTCCGCCCCGTCCTGCGCCGCCTCCTCGGGCGCCAGCTCCACCTCCCCGAGCCACAGGCCCGGCTCCTGCAGCGCCAGCGCCCCCGCGCCCGCCGCGGTGCCCGCCGGCCTCAGGCGCACCGCCCCGCGCGGCTCCCAGCGCCCCAGCTCGGGCCGCGACCCCACGACCAGCAGCTCCGGCCCGGCGCCCGCCACGGCGGGCGGCACCACCACCCCGAACCGGAACCGCATGGCGGCGGCGGCGCGTCTCCCGGGCCGGGTCTCCTGGTGGCCCGAGCGCGGGGCGGCCGCGGCGATTGGGCGGCGGCGGGGGAGGCCCCAGGTGCCCGCGGGGACACGTGCGGTTCTGCGCCCTTTTTAGGCCGCATCACGCGGCTGGGGAGCCTCGTGCAGGCCGGGCCTTGTGGCCTCGGAGAGGGGGCGGCGGAGCCACCAGCCGCGTCCTTACGCGCCGCAGCCCCGCGGGCGACGGAGGTCCACTCGGGTCACTGGGGACGCGGCGAGCAGGAGCAAAGGACGAGAAAACGGATTAGGAGCGGGAGGAAATCCCACAAGCCCCTCGATTGTCAGTCATCTTTCAAGAGACTCGAAATTGTCTTTATTAAGTTCCAAAGAAAGGAATGGCCTCTAGACAGCGGCCTCCAAATGGCGAAGTTGGGAGAAGATCCTGGACCCGTTCTCTGCAGCGCTGCTGGTCTCAACCAGGTCTCTTACTCTCCCTGGTCTCAAGTTCTTTCTGTAAAATGAGATACGAAATAATGATCTTTCAAGCTCTAAAGGTTATCTGGTGAGAGAGGCGTCGCTGAGGACCAGGAGCTAATGCAAAAGCATTCATACCTTTCCCTTGCCTTATTCCAGTCTGCAGCCTGAAAAGACCCAGAATCACTTACTTTTTTCCAAAACTACTATATTTTTAGTATGTGTAAAATCAGTTTGGAGTAAATACTTTCAAGTGCTTTTCAAGGTCAAAACAAAAACAGTAATTCTGTGAGTATAAGTGTATGACTTTTATAATATTTTAAGTGGCATAAAAATAAAAACTCTTTGTTTAAAATTGGCTTTCAGTAAAAGTCAGCACTATTTTTTCAGCTTAAACCATTTTGGGGTTGAGAAACACAGGGTTGTGGCTATCTGGCCAAAAGAAAAATACTTACATCTTAGGGTGAAGGGGATTTCAATTTTCCACCACCACAAGATAAACGAATGTACTGTTTTGTTAATTTTTTATTCATTAACAGAATTACTCTCATGTTCTTATGTTTGTACATTCACTACCATTTAGGATAACACAAATCTCTCATGTGTATTAAACACACAAAGGCATGTGTTTTGCAGTATTTGGAAGTTTATGAATAGTATGGGGGGAAAAGCCAAAATGTCCTGCATTCAAAATATCTAACAGAAGTAAAGCGGAAAGAAGTACAAAAATATAAACTACACAAACTCAGTCTCTAACAATACACTTCACTCTTAAATATTGATACTCCACTCAAAGTTTGGTTGGTTGCTAAGGTTAAGGATAAACATCTAGAAAAAACGGGAAGATAGATTGGCCAAACACGGCTGATTCAGTAGCAAGTCAGACATTAAATCACAGTGGCATGTCAGTCAGTTTATTCAAACTTACGTTACAAGATATTCTTAGAATAATTTTAGGAAAATAATGGTCATTTGGCCATGCAAAGAGGACTGTTTGTCTACAGTGAAATTCAGATTCCAATGAACCTTCTCGTTTCTTCAGGACCTGAGAGCTAACAGTTCAGGACTTTGTTGGGCTCTGCTGTGTGTCCTGTGTTGTGTACTTTCCAAATGGTGTTGTTCCCACCGGCCCTTCCAGAATGAGTTCTGCCCCTCCTGTAGATAAAACGACAGCAGAAAAAGCCAAACAATATATTTGTTTAACAAATGTTATTTCCTTTCCTCTGTCATCACGAGAAGGTTGAATCATTTTAACCTAATCATTTGCAAGAAATTCCCCCTTAAGCCCCTGAACAAAATACGTAACAGCTTATTTCGTGGCATGGATTTAAATATGGTACAAATTTGATGGCTGCATCGTGCACCAAATAAAATGCAACTGGAAGGAACACTGCGGAAATATGGATTAAAGAACACGTTTCAAATCCTCAGTCATACTTTGACTGTCAATCATTTGGATATACTAACCATGATAATAGTCACTCAGCCCTTATTACATGCATATGGTTTTCATACTCATATTATATATTTAATTGTCTCACCAATCCTATGAAGTAACTATAATTGTTATTACCATTTTTAGATGTGAAGAAATTGAGGCACAGAAGGGTCCAGTAAACAGCATGCAGCAAGGAATGGGCAGAGCCAGGTGCTAAGAGGCATCCACTCAGCTTATAGTTAAAAATATACAGATGTATAATAAAGGAAATTAGAAATATTTTTATCCCAAAATACGGCATTTCCACATGCTGGACTGACTGAAGAAGCCTCAAGTTCTCTGACCTTCACCACCAACAACACCACCACCACTCTCTCTGCCAAAATCTTTGAAGTTTCTCTATCTACCTGAGATCCAGACTCACCTAGGAGAACAATTGTTCTTTTCTTCCTCTCCCTATGAGACCAGGAATGTGACCACCTCTGCAGACTCTTTAAGAAGATAATGCCCCATCTCTCAGACTCATTTCATTCCAAGAGAAACTATTTACCAGTTCATCTTTGTTCCCCCTCCATTCATCCTCCCTAGTAATCTTTGACTGCCCCTAAACAGAATTCCTCTTTCCCTCTGTCCCATAACTCATTTTACTAGAAAGACATATAAGCTTCTGAATCCTGTTGGGTAGTTGAATCTTCATTTTATGAGGATTCTCATGTATACATGTTAAAATAAATTTGATAATTTTCTCTTACTAATCTGCCTTATTGTGAGTTGATTTTTCAGCATACCTTACAAGGGTTGAAGGGGAAATTATATATATCATATAAATACATATATGTATATCTTATATATACATATATATACACACACACACATATAAAACTAATATATATCCAACAGATACATATTCTGATAAGAAAAATCCTTTATAGGCCAGGCCCGGTGGTGGCTCACACCCATAATCCTACCACTTGGGAGGCCAAGGCCAGAGGATCGCTTGAGTTCAGGAGTGTGAAACCAGCCTGAGCAAGAGCAAGACTCCAGCTCTACAAAAAATAGAAATATTAACTAGGTGTGGTGGTGCATGCATGTAGACCCAGCTGCTCAGGAGGCTGAGGCAAAAGGATCAGTTGAACCCAGGAGTTTAAAATTGCAGTGAGTTATGACAATGCCACTGCATTCTAGCTAGGGTGACAGGGAGAAATTCTGTCTTTTATAGAATGCATTTAAATCCCAGCATATTTAAATGTTATTCTCCATCAGCTCTATTTTTTTTCATCTGTAAATTCATTTATTCCTGGTGTGTTGTTCAATGTATAGTTTTAATCTTCTCCATTCTCTTTTTTTTACTAGTTAATGGTTAATTTTATATTATGTGATTCATATCACAATAAAAAAGTAATGATGCAATAATGGTAAAACAGGTAGCAACGTAAAACAGGTAGCAAAGATCACTCTTCCTTAATAAGTTGTCTTATTGTTTACATTGACATGTTACCGCTTGACCCTTCTATATTTTCTTTCCTCCCCTTTTATTTCATCATATTATGGGGTACAAATATTGTTAGGGTTACATATATTGCCCCTCCCTCCCCCCATGTGCCAGAGATTCAAGCGTGTCCAATCCCCAGGTGGTGTTCACCACACACATTATGTAAGTATACACCCTTCTCCTCCTCCCCCTCCCGCCTGCCACAGCCCGATCAAAAGTGGGTTTTTTCTATGTTTTTTTTTCCACATTTTTTTTTACATTTACATTTGTTTTTATATTTTACATTTACATTGTATATCTTTGCCTCTCCTAAGAAGGGTTAGAGTTATGCCCTTCCCCTCCAAAATGCTCGCCACATCCCTAAAATGTGGGTCTCTCTCCCCCACCCCCCGAATCCCTGGTGAACATTACCACCATTTGAGAACCATAGTTTTAATCAGTCAGTACCAATTTGATAGCGAGTAGATGTGGGCTCATTTCTATATCTTGTGTAGCCTCGCTTTGGATAACGGGCTTAAGCTTAATCCAGAATAGCATAAACAGTGCTAGCTCACTGTCATTTCTTAGAATTGAGTAATATTCCATTGTGAGCATATACCACATTTTAATTATCCACTCATGAATTGACAGGCACTTTGGTTGTTTCTATGACCATGCAATAGTGAATTGTGCTGCATAACATTCGGGTGCATATGTCTTTATAATAGAATGTCTTATGCTCTTTTGGGTAGATGCCAACAATGCTATTGCTGGGTCAAATGGTATTTCTATTTCTTGCTGTTTGAGGTATCTCCAAATTCTTTTCCACAAAGGTTGTACTAATTTGCAGTCCCACCAGCAGTGTAAGAGTGTTGCTGTCTCTCCACATCCTCGCCAGCATTTGTTGTTTGGGATTTCTTGATATAGGCCATTCTTACTGGGGTTAGGTGGTATTTATGTGGTTTTGGTTTGCATTTCTCTGATACTTAGAGATGTTGACATTTTTTTATATGTTTGCAGCGGCCATTATTCTTAACTTCTTTGGAGAAGTTTCTGTTCATTCCGTTGCCCATTTCTTGATGGGATTGTTTGATTTTTTCTTTGTTAATTCTTTTAAGTTCTAGATAAATTCTTGTTATTAGACCTTTATCAGAGGTGTAGAGAGCAAATATTTTCTCCACTCTGTGGGTTGTCTATTTGCTCTACTGTGATTTCCTTGGCTGCAGAAACTTTTAATTTGATCATGGATGGTAGAATCAATATCATTAAAATGTCAATATACTTAAAGTGATCTACAGAATCCATGCAGTCCCATCAAAATACCATCAACATTCTTTACAGATCTAGAAAAATAATTCTTCACTTTGTGTGGAACCAGAAAAACCTCGCATAGCCAAATAAAAATGAACTTCCTATAACTCCTAATAAACTCCTAATAAAAATGAACTTCCTATAATTATTTCCTGTAACTAACTTCATCCTTAGGAATATGGAACAGATGAATCACAAGTGGCCATATAAACTGATCAACGAGTCTATAAAAACATAACTATCTTGGTATTTAGAGAAGATTTGATCTCCAGTCTACAGGAAATTGTAACATTTGTGGCTTTGTATACCCATTTCTTGACAATGGAAACACAGATTTTAGAAGCCAATGTGAAGAGTTTACCAGGTATTAAGCAGTGTTAGTCCCAGATCTTTTCTTGTGTTGGGTTCATAATATTCTTTACATTTCAAAGAATCATGGTATTTATTAAAAGGATTATTTATGAGATCCATTTCAGGTCAGATTCTTGATGCTATGAGGACAAGCTGAATTTAGAGCAAGAATCAACCCAGTAGAGTAACATAATTCTGATGATAATTTTAAAAGAACAAACCAATTGTTTTGTCATTAAATTTCATTTCTATAGTGCTATCTTATATATAACTACAACATTTCTTGAAGAATGGGTGATAAATTCAAGCTTAGAGTTTCAGGATCCAATTCAAATGTAAATTCTTTTGATGCCCCCACAGGAAAGCTGTTCCTTGAATCTCTGGTGATTTATGTTTTCTGATGCAATCTTTCACTAGTCAGTGAGTTTTCATAAGTCTTTCCTTATAATATTTGTGTGTGAGTGTGTGTATGTGTGTATATATATACTCACCAATGTAAACCATATTTCAACCAAATAGTTCAGGGATTGTTATAAATACTAGTTTATTATATGACAGAACATATCTAAAAGTTAAATGTGTCACATATACTATTTCCAATTTTGTTGCTTTAAAAAAATAGAGGAAAATTTGAATACAGCTTAGAAGCTTGTACATATTACAGCTAACTTTGTTCTGGGTGGAAAATTTTAGGTTAGGCTACTTGAAACCCCTTTGGGAATCTGGGACAGTAAAAGGATATAAGCTATACCAAGGCTTTGTCCAAAGATCCCACATCTCTCAACTATGTTAAAACTTCATCCCTTTTTGATACATATAAAATTCCTATCTCCAGTAGATTCCAATGATTCCACTTCCCATCCATCCCACCATAGAGAAATACTGCATTGGACCAGCCTGTTTTGTCATGCTTCCTTCTCTGCAATTATACTATAAAAATATAATTTTAAAAAAGTTCCAAGTATGAAATTACAATGAAACATATACCCTTTCAAAAGGCATTCACCTGCCTTTCCCTCGCACATCCCATCCCATCCTTACATTGTAAAACCCATGCCTCCCCTCATCACTTCTCAGTTGAGAACCTCTACTCAACAGTGATTAAAACCTAGGTTCTGTTCAGCAATGACCTTAAATGACTTTGGGGGGGAGGGGGGGAGAGTAGAGAGCCAAGCTGGGTAGCTGGACCCAAGGTTAGAGGCACCAGTTGTAGAGCTTCCTTCAGATGTAAAAAATCTTCCTGAGTCTGAGTGACATGAATGGCAGGCTAGTTAACACCTTTCTCAAATAGGGTAGAGACCTTGATAACTCAACCCTAGGAATAAAAGAATGGTGGCTAGGAGGGATGATTAGAAACTCCCAAGGGAACTTTCAAAGAGTTTGAGAAAAGGCAAAGAGACTGGCTGAAAGCAGAGCTGGCTCATTTAACTTAAATAGAGAATGGAACTATGGGTGTGGCTGGGCATACATGGCAAGTACTTTTTAAGAACTGGAACTCTCTGTAATTCACCTTTGCTTATTTTTCCTAACCACTGTATGTGTGTTATGTTAAAAATATTTTAGCATGGAAGTAGGGTGCAGGCA